CTGGGTGCAACGTCTGTAGCGTTGAGCAGATCCAAAGGAGTAAAATATTGTTCCAGGCAGCGCTCACTGCTCCCCTTCCCATCGGTGTTTAGTCATCTGAGTTGTGAAATAGCAGCCCTGCCGCTGCACGACAGCATTGCTGTATTAATTATTATCCGCTGTTCAAACATACACATCTTTGTACGGTGACAGTTTATCCAAACAGGCCACTTACAAACGGCAATATTACTACCCATAGCTCATCAGACCCCCAATTATTTAACTCAACCTCTCATTTAGATCACTCAGAAATCTATGGGTACAATTTGAAGCAAAAACAGCTCGAAGAAGATAAAGAAATATCTCACATATCACTAACTCAGCAGTGTTGTAATTTTGCTCACTCACTTGCACAAAGACAAATACACAAAGCACAGAGCTTTTCGCTATGCCATTACTTGTCATGCAGGCTTGGAAAATTACTTTAAGATTTATTATGCAGAGGTAAATGTCTAGTTTTCCATCGACCGCTGCAGCGCAAACACAGACATCTATTACAGACACTGCAGTTAAACTGTAGCTTCCATTTGCTCTTGGGAGGTCGGCATGCAGTACAATGGTAAACGTTGAAGTAATTCATTAGGACAATCATTTAAACAGTTTCCCCCAAGTGGTTTAAAGGGCATTAGTTCCAAAGAGTCTGTTTTTTCCTTGATTTACAGCTCATACAGAACTAAGAAGAAGATCCGTAATTCAGCAATATGCTGACTGGTGATAAGAGCGCTAAACTGTTGTTTCAAATGTTTTATACTGTATATCAAGAAATCCATTAATTCAGTTAAAAAGGAAGCAGAGTGTATTGTAATAATTATGATGGTGAGCACTAGATGGCTGAGATCCAGAAAAGAATGATGGACATAGTCTGGGCTCAAAACTCTCAAGATGACCTCTGGCACACACACACACACACACACACCTATCCCAATATGCAACACACATTGAAACTGTGTTTCCAGCTGTGTAGCTCTCAGAGCAAAATAAAAAGAACTGATGCCATTCTGAATCAAGTATCAGCTGAAAACTGGTGTGTGATAGTTTGGAGAAACATGGCGCTGATAAAAATTTAATTAAAATCACACTAATACTGAAGCTCTATAAAGGCTGATTTTACATTTTCTTGCATTGTTCTTCATGATGTTTTACAGGTTTTACAAAACCAATGGAACATAAGGCATAACAGGTCACTTTTAAAATGTGAAGTAAAACGTAAAAGTTATTGGTTCAATTCTTTCCATCGTGAACAAATTCTATACAAAGACCAACCCATACCACATGTCCCCATGTCACTTTCTCCATTTCCATGTAGCTTCACCAATCATCTTAAACTAATACCATTCCATTTCTAATTGTAATAGATAATTTTACCTCCGCTGATGACGCTCATGCGCATGCTCGGAGGCCTCTGTGCTCAATGCGCTATTCCTTCCATGATTTTACAGAACTCCAGACAAAATGACTTGTGAAGAATAAAAAAGCCAACCAGTGTAACCGGCAAAAGCCGTGAACCAAACCACAATGCAGAGAAAGGATGGAAATTATCTGTAAATTCCTATATTACATTCATGTACTACTTTATTGCCTTTTTATAGGCCCTGTAAAAAACAAGTCAGGAATTGTAAGATAAAGAAACAAAAATGTAATATTGGGTTACAATTTATTTGGCTGGCAAAATATATACTCAAATGAAAATGCTTCCAATCTTGTGTTTCTAAAGCACCTTAAGGCAAATTAGTATTGTTCGTCTTACCTCTAGATGTTTAGATAGCCGTGTTTAAACAAGCCACAAAGTTACAAAATTTCCAATGTGCACCAATAAGCCACTAGTGGTACCTTCGTTCACTGCTTTTCTTATGAAAGTAGCTAGCACCACCAGCCTCAAAAGTTATTTGATATACGTTATCAATAAATTAACAATGACAGCCCAAATTCACTTCCCCAAATTACCTTTATGAACGTAAACATATCCTGGTCATTATTGACGGCAAACGTGGCTATTGTTAGTACTCACACCTGGAAAGTAGCTTGTGAAAGCTTGAGTGAAGCCCAGCTTCAACAGCCATCATTGCTCGTTAGCAATGAGTGCACGGGCAATAAGTGCAATAAGTGCATGGGCAGAAAGGCACATTTGGGCCAAATTAAATAAACCCTTCCAAATGATTGGAAGGGTTTATTTAAGCAAGACTTAAAGCTTGAAGCATGCGAGCTAGCATGTTGTACTCGCTTCAACATAGAGGTGGTGGATATGAAACTCAAAAAACGGGTTTATTGCACAGTAACTACCGTGGTTGCCTTCAATTGACCTAGTTCTCTGGTCTTCTGCCGGCCTCTCTGCTTTGCTTAGTTTGGGATTGTATAGGATGTTGCGTGGAGCTGGAGAAGCTCAGTACGAACACAGAGAGCAAAGAAAATGCACCCTGAAGTTCGATGTTACCCCAAATTGCCGAAAAAGTTTTGATAATATTTCCAATAATAATGGAGCTTAACTCTGCGTTCTTGAAATTTGAATTTTAAAATGTAGCCTCACAATTCTGAAATGGCATACTACAACACACAGCTCAAGCAGCTGCCCCACAGAAGATAATATACAGGAATTTGCCTTAGAGACTATTTCTCATTATGTTGTCTACGTAAACCAGGCATTGCTGTCAGGGGACTCCAGCCAACACTGCGTTCATCAATTTTGTGAAGGTGGTGGGGCATTACAAAGACCTGCCTCTGCCTCAGCCCTCAGTGCAGGAGGCTGTTTTGGATTTGGCTTCCAGGGCGAGGAGCACCTCGAAATGCCCATTGTGAAGGTCCATGGAGGAGAACCAAGAGAACCCTGAGACAGGGAGACTTGTTAATGTCGGGCAGTTGGTATGGATCCTTCCGTCTTACTCCTTTATAAGGCAAAAGGTGGCAAAAGGGGGAAGGTCGCAAGAAACTCTATAATGTACTCGCTGATGGTACGAGAGGTCTCAGCGGAGGAACAGTTGGTTATCCACACCAGGTAACTTAAAGTCATCCCCCCACACAGACAACGTAAACATACCTCTGCGTTTTATGTTGCCTGCTTGCCGATGGCCGCGCACAGAGGTGGGGTCAAACGGAGGCCAGTCTAGAATCATGTAGTCCTCACCAACATTACTGTTGACAATGGGTTCACAAGTGAAGGTCAGGGTAGTCCTTTCAAAGTGAGAGGGACATAACAATAATCACCACTACAGGTACATTCAAGCGCACCTTGATCAGTTCAGCCCCTTCAGTCACCTATGTCGGCCTTCCTTTTGAGGAGCTTGCAATTGTGCCATTCCCAGCAGGTGGCCCCAATTTTTCACGCCACACATTCTCTCCCTCCACAGCAATCGCCGAAGAAGCAAAAAAAAACACTGTATGTTTCAGCTGTACCTGGACAGAAGGAAAGATAGCTCCGATGAACTGGTCCCATGCCAGCTCACTAAAGACCATGTGTACATAAACCCGCCGCGACAGGTGGATTATTGAGTTCATAACGGAGGATCCAAGGCTGTAAACACCGCCAGAACCGCCTCTGCATTGCCCCAACCAAAGCTTGATACCTACATCTGTCCTCTCGGTTAAGTAGTAGAAGACGAGACAGAGCAGCGTCTGTGAGGCACAAAGCCAGCTGCAGTGGTTTAGTCTCAAAAGACCACCCCCCAGCATGGGATAATAGTTCAAATTGGGCCAGAAAAGCTTAACCCAGTCCAACCCGTAAAAGCGGCTCATTGTTATTTACATTTGCCGGAGTAGCGTCACAAGTTGAACTCTATGGAGATGTCCTCAAACCACCCACAAGCTCATTTGTCCTCCATGTCTCACTTTTCTTTCTTCACTTTCGTCCAACCAAAAAAATCAATAGCCAACGGCGAGTGTCCGGCTAACTCACAAACAAAGCTAGGTTAGCGCCTGATAAGGTTCAGCGTTACGGCTTTAGTCCGTCTCAAAGTAACTTCGGACCCCAGTGTAATGTTTCACTTACGAGTTGGAACCCTTCAACAAAACTGCTAACAAAACTGTATGTGTTTAACTCGCAAAATAGCGTTTCAGTTTTAAACACGTTTGTTAATGCTGTGTTACCCAAAAATACTCAAACACAGTCAGGCACATATACCAAATCCCAACCAGCCTAATTCTATTGGTACCAGGAGTAATTGTGATGTCTGATGGACACACTACACTAAAATGCTACCGGACACTAAGTATGAACTGCTTTCATTTCAGCCAAAAATTTCTTCAGTAAGTTGCACTTGCTTACAAATTAACGCTAGTTGCTAACACCACTGAATTTACGTAGCTAACAAGGATTATGTTAATTAGCACATTTTTGAATGTGCAATTTTTTCTGCACAGTTTCATTTTTGGGGGGTTAAATCCAGCAGCTAAACAACTCTTCAGTTGAAAACAAACCACACATAGGCTATGGGTGCATGAACATTAGAAACGCACGAGGAGCTGATGTAGCCTGAATTAGCCTGCTGCAGCCAGCTACTATGATAGTGAGAGTGTGGATATGGTCCAAAAACATGGGCTACGGATACAGCGGTACTGCACATGATTATTATGATTGCTAAAACTATCTCGTCTGCATACACAGACATCTTCACACACTTTTGTTCTTCCATTCTGGCTTCGAAGTCAGTGGTTAATCAATTTAGACATTTAAACGCTAAGATAGAATACATAGCTGCATGAATGCAAATTTATGAACTATTTATTGTGATGTGATCATTTAAATATATTAATCAAAATATTTTTTATAGTAATCTATTTAAGAAAAGAAACAATGATTTATAATATTGAGCAACATTTCTACCATTTATGTGATGGGTAAACATTGAAATGTACTTAAATAACATTAGACTTATATTTTTCAAAGATATGTTTTCTCACAAAGCACAGAAATACACGTAACAGGAAATTCCGCAATAAATCCATCCAAAATGAAAATAATTACTCAAATCTTAAAACAAAATGTCTCTTTAATTTGTAAGTGTCAACAGCAGTACAAAAGATGGAGTGATGGGAAAAGTTTTCTGTAACACAATTTCTGTTTCATTTACAGAAAAGGAGGGAATTCTTGAGGTAAATGAGTTTGAACAGGCAGTTAGTCATCCACTGTTGCATGTTTACAATGGACTGAGACATACAGAAAATGGTGTTACATTATAATGCCTGAATTGATCCTGTGGGGATAATTTAATCATATACAGTATACACATTTCTATGGTGCCTAGATGCACCTGAATGTGTCTCTCATTGGTTTGTTTTTACTCAATATAGTGTATTAATACTACCAAAGCAGAGAAGACAGCTCTCCGCACACACCACTGTAAAATGATTCACCTTATATTCACCTCACGTCAATACTGCACATGGAAAACAAAGACTTGCTGGTGTACACTTTGAAGCCAAGCAAAACAAACATTTAAAAAAAATTATAACATTTTTCTTTTTTTTTTTTTCTTTTTACCAATACCCTTAGCAAATAATTAATCTTTTGTACTGTATAAAGAAGAATGTGAACAAAAATGTGATGGCAAACATTTTTTTTAAGTTGAATTAAAAACTTTACATTGGACTGTACAAGATATTATGATAAAATATTTACATATTCAGACATAAACCTTTTTTTTTTTTAAAGCAGCAACAGACACTATTTCATTTTCTCTACAGCCAAACAATACTTGCCATGGGCCTAGGTACCTGCCAGGGGAAAAAGAAAATCTACGCAGAAACTTGAATCAGGCTGCCAGCAAATTTCAAAACAACAGCTCCAGTATTAGAAGAGCCACACACAGTGTTGTTTAAAGAGACAATTCTAAAAAGCAAAGTACCAAAGACAACTACAAATGTTGCCCTGAAGAACAAAGTTTACACTTCTGAACAGCAGCTAGCATGTCAGTCCAGCATGTCAGTGAATTGTGCTGATTAAATTAACACAAAGAACATTCCCATCATATACATCACAAAGTTCAGACGGAAAAAAATTAAAATTAAATTACAGTAAGTAATGTTGAAACATCATACAAGCTTTTGTCTTCAGTTGTTTGCTCAAACCACCGCAAGTGGATTGAGGGAAAACAATTATGAGGGCTACATTTTGAAGATGGCCGGATAGTCATGACCATGTTCATTAAAAATCAGCATTTACAAAAAATGACGAGGAGAGAATTAAGAATGAAGAATTCAGCATATTGGTGCATTTTGCAAAATTAAAACAAATAAATATTTGCACGACCCCCCTTTTTTAAAAAAAAAGAAGAAAAACATTACTTGTGTTTCAAACAATCATTCATGAAAAAACTCTAATTTAAATGTCAGATGCATGCAGATTTTAGGTATCAGCTCTTCGTAAGATAATTGCCACAAATTGTGATTGTTATTGTAACCAAAACATACAGCATACCACATGGTTTGTACCATTTGGAAAGAAATGATTGTGTAATCCTTTTACAAGAAGAGCGTGTTTCCTAAAGGAGTTCCTTACTTGTAAGGACCCATATATTCAGATAAGTAGATTAGATTTTGATTGGTATTTTGAATAGTCCAGGGAAGATAACATTGGCAAGTGAGGTGCTTCACTGTCACAGGTCAAATACTGCTCTCTTCCAATGGCCAGAAATCAGCATCTACATGAGGTACGGTGACTTGTCAGGTTTTAAAAACATGAAACCACGTACAGAAATAAAAACAGAGGATAAAATAGAAGAATCAAATACATAACTTATACTTCACTAATGGACAAAAATATATTTCCTATGTTATATTTACAATAAAATCTAAATGAGATGGTGAATTCACTGAAAACCATTGTTAGCTCAAATTCATCAAACATGTTTTTTTTCTTTTCTATTTCTCCGATTGTCTGTGTTGTTGTTTTACTGACAATTTTAGAGCCAGCATTGGCTAATAATAAATACAATATGTTGATACTCTACAATTTAAAATACAATATACAATACACTGAAGTCTGGTGTTTGACGGCCAATCAAGCCTGCTGTTGAATTTTCTGCTCCCTTTCTTGTGCTGAGTGTCTCCCCCATAGGCAGCCCTGAAGCTTAAACAAAGTGTTCATTCATCACACGAGTCGTTGCATAAATAAACAAAATAAGTAGACAAAAAATGACTCAAATCTGGCAACTGTGAGAGCAAACCCACTTGAGTCCAACTGGAGATTTTTGTTCAATCATGGTGTTTTTTTCCTTGAACAGCTTCACATTAATCAGAATTGATAAAAATACAATTTATATCCAGTGCTTATAACACTTAAGAAACATTGTCCCCTTGTGAGTTCTTGTCATTTTTGTATCTTTTTTGTTGTTGTTGCTATACAAGCACAGTCAAGTTTCAGTTCCATGAAGAGTCCTCTTTAGCTACCAGCCAAGCATGTGTGGCATGGTCATGACAATATTTACAATCACATACAAATCAATCTAACCACCAGCAAACAGTTTGACTTGGAGGGAAATCCACTTGGGTTTGTTGCAGGAGAGAATCAATCAAATGTTTTGTACCTCAAAATGAGAATAATGTAGAAAAGATGTGATGGAGAAGAAAATAAAACAGGAATAATGAATGGTCGGTTAAAAAAAAACCCTACAAAATTATAATAACATAAATGCTTCCAAAAGTAGAGCAAGCTAGCACTGATATTGACAATAAGAGCACAGACGAATTGAGTGCGTGGGAGATATATAGAGCCACCTGTACCAATTAGACCTGGGAGAAAAATGCAGTGACCAGCAGTGGGGATCTTGACCAGTTAAAGCCAGTGACCAGCCATTCAGATCCTTCAAAAAGCTCTGAGTTCTTTCTGAAATGGACAGGTTCAAGGGCAAGGGAAGGGAATAGCAGGAGTCATGCATTAATAATGCTGTATTTCAGATGATACCCAGTCGTCAGTCATTTTAATAATCCCCCACAGCTTGATGTACTTGTTCCATCTGCTCGCCAGTGCCTGGTGATTGGGCCGGGGTGGGAGCCCTGTTGAGGCCTTACTACTAGCACTTTGATGGAGAGCACAATGAGGGACACAAACCCCGTTTTTATTGTTTCCCATCCCTCCCTGGTGTTTTCTCCTACTCTGAGCCAGATGGCGACCCGTGGGAGCTGAGGTTGCCACGGGCAGGGGTCAGAGCAAGGCATGGCAGGGAAGGAAGCCACTTAGACCTTCTGCCCTGCAAAGAGGATCTCTGTCTCAACATCAAGGCCTTTGCTTTATCAAGCTACACTCGCCAGAAGGTCACCAATTGTCAGCTTTTTAGCTGAAATGAGGGCAGACTTCTCACCCCTTGGTTGAGTTGTTACATTTAAATGCAAGGGGTTAAGTGCATTTCAAAAGCGTATAGAATTAATTTAAAACAACAACATAGGGCTCAAGGGAGACAGATTAAGATTTGTATAAGTGCACTAATGCAAAAATCTGTGTTTTAAGTCACCGCTGTCATGAGTATATGACGAGGTAATTTAAGAAACAAACATGATTCTCGCCTTTCTCTCAGTTTATAAATATCCTCATAAACTGTCACTCCTCTTAAGACTACAGCAGTAATCAACTCATTGCATCAACCCGATGACCGTGCTCCGCTTTAAGACTTCTTAGTGTCAATTTAAGATTTACAATGTCCATGAAGAATTAAGATTGGAAAAAAATGAAGTTCTAAGACGTAAGACTTTAAACTTGTCATCCAAATGGGGCTAAAGCCTTAACAGAACGTACTGTAGCTAAACATTGTACAACATCAATTTGAGATTGTAATGCCCCCAAAGCTGCCTTTCGATGCTGTTCCAATCCCACAGATTGGAGGCCTTTGGCCCTTTTGCATTCTGGCCTGATTACAATCACTCTGATTAAGAATTTGGTGATTCAGACTGGTATGCAGTGCTAGAAATGAGATGGGGATGCCGCAGTGCTCTGCCTGGACTGGGATGAGGAAATGAAAGGCCTGGCTGTTCTCATTGATGATCACTGCATTACGGCTCCACGGAGGACAGCTAGCCTCACAAGCTACCACCCAAACATGTCACATACTGTAACCTCCTGCAGAGCCTGCTGCCTCCAAGTTCCTGAGTTCCGTGTGTTTGTTCTGTTAGTGTAAATTGAAGAAAGTCTGGATAATGAAGCTGTATTAAGGGATCAAGAGATTGTCCAAGACTCAAGAAGCCACTCCCAAAAGATCTTACAGATTTTAGAAACAACTTGAAATGTTTGGCACTTCTGCACTAAAGTATACAGCTTGTGTAATATAAATAACACTAATAATAATAATAATAATAATGTGTAATCTCCCGTCTGTTAATTTTTGAGATATTTTGAACTGATCATCCTAATAATTCATGATTGATTACAAACATCCACAAGCTGTTGGCTGGCACACTATACCTGAGTGAGAATATTATCCCCATCTTGAACAGTTATGCAATTTCAATCGAAATGATCTACTTAAAGAAGAAAACAAGGCAATGTCTGATGTTAAATTTAAAGTTCTGTCTTTTGTTCTACAACCCAAATGTGTAAATGTCAGTGATCTCGATGAAAAACAAAACAATGAAAAAAAGAAAGAAAAAAATACTCCAAATAACAACAACCAAATTGCTTCACACACTTGAAGAAACACTTAAGACCAAATAGCGTTTGATTCTGATGAAGCCACACCTGCATGCTGGCTCCTAAATGATACATGGTTAATTACCTATTTTACATTTTTTTAAACCTTTGAGGTGAAGTTTCATTTTGCGCTTTCACTCCCTCAGATCAGGCCAGCCTTCTGGGCATCCTCCTGTATGAGTGTTGTGTCTGCATTGGCACGGGCCTCTTCCGTTAAAGACATCTCAGTTGGCGCTGACCGGCTCATGTGTGTCGTTTTCACTACTATAGTCTGATTTGGGCTCATCCTCAAAATCCTCGTACATGTCCATCTCATCCACCCCGTTGACCGGCACGCTGTCGTTTGCCATGGTGTTGGGCTCTAGCTTCATGTTGTAGGTGCTCTGGATGACAGGAATGGACGGCTCGGGACTCGCCGAGGCACTCGAGCACTCTGATGTCATCTGAGGTGAGGGTGTGGTGGTTGCCATGGTGATGGCCCCTGGATAGACCATGCTAGGGCTGGTGGTGATAGGAATCTGTGGTGGCTGTCTGGATGTGTGAGAAAAATGAAGAAATAAAAATGAAAATATCCCATATATGAGTTACATTTAATACAAATTACATTTCCAAAGGAAAAACATTAAAACACGTATGCATATGTTTTTTCTTATTGTAGCATCAGATATTACATAAATATTATGTATTTTTCTTTGCACACTAACTGGAAATGTTGGTTTCCCCCTGCATTCAGCTTTAAGCCAGCAGCTCTGTGAAAAAGATTTGGGAAAAGAAGTTTCTACCGACAGCTCCCGTTCTGAGCTGTTCGGAAACACTAGCCAGTTTATTGGTGACATAAAACCAATACGTGGTTAGCGCTGCTCTTGTCTGCTGTTGCGCTGGATAATTGATACGCCAGCCGCCGAAGCTTATGACTGACATGGGAACACCTGGAGAAGGGTTCTCCTGCTAACCACACGCAGTAAATTAAAGTGTTAAGCGCCAGAGTGCTGCCCTCCAGGCTTCTGTAAGTCTATACTTAAAGCTTATGTCCTGTAATAATGTCTGCACTTTGTGCTCCTTTGGCAGACTGCTTTTGTCTAAAATTATTAAATCATAGCAATTGAAAAAACAATATTTTTAATGTATACGTCAGGCTCTTGTTTTTAAAAACCATTACAGTACAAGTTAACTCAACAGTCCCTGGTATGACAAAGGTAGGCTGAAAGCTAGCGTGCACTTGTTTGGGGATTTTCTGTGTGTGTGTTTGTGGTTATTTAGTGGAACTTGGACACTTACCCCACAGTGAAGAACTGCCTCATCTCTTGTCGCCGTGAGCGCATCATCTGCTTGTACTCTCCAATGCGAAGTTTTTTTCCGTCGATGATGCAGGTCCTCTTAGGCCGCGGCTTGTACTTGTAGTTTGGGTACTTCTCTAGGTGTTGCTTGCTCAGACGGGCCTGCTCCTCATAGTATGGCTGCTTATCCTGGTTGGTCATAGACTTCCACCGGGAGCCTAGATAACACAGTCCATTCAAAGTATTTGATAAGCGGGAAAAAGTGAACTGATACGGGGATTCAAATGATCAGTAATGTAACTATATATAGTCAAAAACGGACATTTTACCACTTTTGTATATAGCCTATTTTAACGCTAAGCCGTACAAAATGACACTACTCATTTTCTAGCAGAATTGAGATTTATAGTTTGTTCCATACCAACGTCTTGATAGTACACTTAGATCAATGTGAAACAGAAAGAAACGATGGGCCAGTGAAGTAAATACTGCAGCTCTGTAAAGTGTCCTACTAGGTACTGGATGACAGCACTTTTAAGAGCCCTGATGTATGGACTCCAATGCTGAGGGGACAAGACCTATTTAGCCTCTGTCATTTTCCATGACAAACACTTATGGTAGTGATGGGCTATAAATCCATCAGTACGCCATGGAGGCCTGATGAACAGTTGGCTATTAGATATCACACTCCTTCAGTTGCTAGCTACGTTTCTCAAATGAACTGTATGCTTGGTGTTATGAAAATTCATATTGATGAACCAAATCACAGAAATTAAATTCACCACCTCTAGCATGAGCCATGTGTTTTAAGCTGTAATTTAAAATGGGAATTCAAATGGAAATGAAAGATAATAAGAAAGTTCCATTTTGCACTGACAAAAGTGTAAATTAAGTGATAGTACATGTTTTTTAATGAGAATATTAAAGCCATGAAAAGCCATTTTTATGTTCCTAACCGGTGGCTTGACGGATGAAACATTTTAATTCAAATCTCTTACCCAAAATCTTGCTTATGTTGGAGTTGTGCATGTCAGGGAAGGCCTGGAGTATCTTGCGCCGCTCATCCTTGGCCCACACCATGAATGCATTCATTGGCCTTTTAATGTGGGGCTCGTTGTTGTTCCTTCCTCTGGCCTCCCTAAAGACTCGTGCCTCAGTGGATCCGGCACCTCCTGTTGGACGACAATAATGGGGTTAAGGTTTATCTGCAGAGCTATTTACCTCCAGAGATAGCAGCCCACGGCCTCGATTAGATGACGAGCCGCTTTCAAACTGTCCATCTATCGTCCTCGGCATGAGCGTTGTTTTAGAGGAGTGGTGGGATACAGGTGAAGGGGTATATTCTGTATTGAGTGGAATAGCTGACTTGACAGGCTTACATTTTTTGTGCTATAAAAGTAAATACAGTAAATGAATACAAGCGAGAGCTGCGCTCTTTAACTTATACTTAGATCTATACGAAACCAAAAAAATGTTTTGTCTGCAAGCACACTCTGCTACGGTACATACATTTCAATTTGAAGTTCAAAGTTACCACAGAAAAGGCCAGAATGCAAACATATACAACAAACGTAGGAATTGAGGCAGTCTATAAAAAATGTTAACACTATATGCACAAAATAAATTCAAGCACGGCATTTATCCTGCTATCCTTCCTGCTTTACTCTCCCGCTTTTTTCCTTCTGTCAATTTCTCACTCTCTCTCTCTCTCTCTCTCTCTCTCTCTCTCTCTCTCTCTCTCTCTCTCTCTCTCTCTCTCCACATTTGCAATGAGGGACTGTGCCGATTCTGCAAAGTGCTGTTTCTCAATCAGGGCATTCACAATCAGCATATGAGATTTTCTCTCAGTATTAAACTGTACATCAGACTGATAATGATTTCTGTTTGCGTGCGCATTTGCTTCCTTTTACATGTAAGATGTGAAAGAATTAAATAAAAGCAGTATGAATATTTAAACAAACAAAAACATGTTGATAAACAAGGCTTGAAAAATAAGACAAAAAAACCCTCCATATGCTCCGATACATCTTTAATGATCTCAAATCTAGAAAAGAAAGCTTGGGATGACTCATGCATATTTCATCATCCACATGTGAAGCCTTCTCATTAGACCATTCCACTTGCAGCCTTGGCACATGTTACCTGTGGCTTGATTTCTATTATTATTTCAGTTGATAAACAAAATCTAACTCTTAATGAGTAATGGAGGACTTTGCTGGGATATTAGTTCCGAGTCCACAGACACCTCGCTATGTTTGCGATGCACTGAAGATGCTGCTGCACCATTTCAGCCTCATGAGTGTGGAAAAGTGTGTCTTCTTTTCAAAAGTATTATAGGAGACAAATGGTGAAATGGCAGAATATGTAGACACACAAACACATAGAGATGCTGTACTGAAGGAGCCTACAACCACTTTGAGTATAGAAGAGATGGAGGTGTGGTGGAAGTTTGTCACAGAGAATGTTTGAGGCCCCCAAATATATTTTACCCAGAACATGTTTTATAAAAAAGGACGACAAAACCGTCACTTGATTTTTATATTTCTAAAAAAAACATTACGTTCATTCAAAATTATAAAAAATATACACATTTATGTACACATTTTTCAAAATAGAGAATCTCATATCTCATCAGAGAAACACTTTTTGTTGGACTTTTTCTTTTAAGATCTCACATACAGGATGCACAAAAATACTATATCCAAACACAGATGAGGTATTTTCATTGACACTTTCAAACTCTACCATTTCTTGTTCTGTCTCATAGAAGTCCATAGCGCCTAAAGTCATCATGAATTCAGAAAAAATATACTACCTTTACTGCCACCGAACCCCACAGTACGTTAATTTCATTTAGCATGCACTCACTGTACAGGATGAATTGATTTCACTTTGTTTGGTTTTGACAACCATGTTTATTGTGCAATGAAATGTGGTGTGGTGGAGGGCTGACAGTATCCATCAACACGGGGCAATCTGCTGACTGCCGGGGCCAGATGAAGGTATTCATTAGCTCAGGAGCGCAGCGCTCACTCAGACACGACAGCCAGTGTCTGCGCCCCGGGATCGCCTGCTGTAATTTACGATGCCTCCCGCGCCATTACTCTATCACTGACACTGATTCAGCAATTTATATACTGGTGTGCATGCATACGGGCAGAGGTGAGCTTCTTACGGGGGGGGGCAAACAACCGCCTGCCATCAGCTAGTGCCACATCCATAGTTAGCCAGGAAACCACCCACGTGACTTGGTTCATTGGAGGGAATCCGGAGGAGGCGTGATTTCTTTGCTCATATGATAAAAGTGCCTGTCTTATGCTACAGAAAGCCGGGGAAATTAACAACGGCAGTGTTACATCATCTTCGCCAGTACTGAGGCAGGTGGCGTGTCAGTAGATTTGTAAAAAACAAAACGATGGAGGTTTCAAGTTGACTCAGCCTTGCTCTGGGAAAACCACTACCTAACACAGAGTTTAACCTTCGACCGGAAATTATGATGAAGTTGTCAAGCGGCTTTCAATAATACAAGCCATGTAATGACGTCATACATATGTACCTTATTCAGCCCTAAAAATATACGTGATTTAATCAGAGGCATCTTCCAGTCTCTGCAAATGCCTAAAAGCTGCAACATGCAATTTACTGACACATTATTTCCGTCGTTTCATTCAAAATCATGACACTGGTCTGATATTTCGCAAATGAGCATTAACAATTTTTTTTTTTTCCAGAAGGTGCAGGACATTTAGGAATCAGTTCGTTAGGTGTGTGTGATTGTGTAAATAAACACAGATGTTAAGCAGTGACAGGGGCAGGCCCCCAGGGCGGTGGCTGGGGAAGGGAGCGAAACAGAGGGAGTGCTGCTTAATAGAATTTATTGTGATTCATGAGGCCTGCAGCTCAAGTGTGACAGAGCAATATGCGAATCCGCTTTTAATTTGTCTCTCCTGGAAACACTGTAGATGAGCAGCATGAATTACAGTGAGAAAGAATGATTGTGTGTTGGGAGGAGGGGCGGGTGGGGGGGGCTACAATAAATGTAGGAGCAAGAGCGGATAAGGACTAAGCAAAAAAGAAAAAAAAGAAAAAAAGAACTCTCCAAAAAATGTAGTGAGGCCCAAAAGCCAATCACACCTGTGAGCTTGCAGGCTCAGACTCGACAATGCCAGAGGGTAGGCTGCCCCTGCCGTCCCCCCTCATCCCCCCCCCTTTTCTCCCCCTTTACTCATCTTTGTTCTGCGGGCAAACACATAATGTCACCCAGGAATCCGCTCAAGAGGATGAGCCTCAGCGAGCAGGCAACAAGCACGCAAACGGGCCGAGCCCCCCCTGTTGGGATCAAATCTAACGCTCCTGACTGAAGGCATTTACTACTGACAATGGAGCCCTTCCCTCAGAGCAGGATCAGGCGAGATTAATGTGTACGGATAGACAGGAGACGGCGCTCAGTGGCACTATTCTGGCCTGAGCGCATAGAATGCTAATTAAACCCTTACAAATTACAAATGCTATAAGCCCTATTTTAACATGTCAATCATGTTTGTCTTTCCAGTAAGGATAACTTGAGGTATCTGGAGCACTTGTGTGTGTGTGTGTGTGTGTGTGTGTGTGTGTGTGTGTGTGTGTGTGTGTGTGTGTGTGTGTGTGTTGCTTTAGTGTATGTGTGTACATGGAAAATTGGGAACAAACGGCCAACCTGTTTCAACAGGTCGGCAATGGTTTTTACTTTAGTCTGCTCTATTCCTTTTCATATGAATCATTCACAACAGTAAACACACAGGGAGGTGCGTGGATATATGGAGAAATTGTTCCTTTTGGGGGTAAATTGGAATTTGCCCACGTCAAAAGAGAACCTTCTTACTGATTGTGTTGACCTATTCACCTATCGTTGTCACTTAAATCATTATGTATGAGCCGCTTCATCGAAGCTTTATTCTGGGAAAAGCAATAAAAGTCAGAGCTTGATTCCCAGGGCCTCGCAGTGGAAGAAAAACAACAACATAACCTCTTCAAAACAATCAACTTCAACAGAACTCCCAAACAGCCTGAAGCAACCGATGTAAAGGAACCCGTCAACGGGACAACAAAGCATCACTCTGGTTCTTCTCGTTCTATTCCATGAGGACATTTCTAAAGACACTGCTTGGCCAAAGCCCCATCTTGTCTCACTCTATGGTTGAAATTATCACACTGGGCGTTAAGATAAATTCTGTTTCCTGCCTCCACACATCTCTCAACACCCTCTTTGTTCTCCGCAGACTCTCTGTGACGGGGGCGGTTTAGACAAACACAAAACCGAGCTGCACAGAAACTCCACACTGCCCTGTGCGAATGAACTACGGTCCTGGCAGAGCCGAGGCCTTTGTGGGTATCTGGTGCATGTTTTTTTCAGAGCTTAGAAGAACTTAATGAATTTGCAGGGGTTCTCGCGTGTGGCTCGTGGAAATCCTATCTATTTCCATTCCTTTGCCACCTTTTTCCAAGTCGTTAGGACTTTGGAAGCCGCGTGCTTCGCAAATATTAGCTTAAGCAACCAAAAGCTTTCTGTGAACGGCTGCGATGACAGACGTCCGCTGTACTCTGGTTCTACTCAATGCGGCTGCTCTGTTCAGGAGGAAAAGCTGCTACGCACCCAGAGGCTTTCACACCCTATGTTAGGGCTGGGAGGTGCACTCGGTAATTTTCCTCTCATACAAGTATACAGAATGCAGTGTGTTCTGAACTATTGAGGAAAAGTGATATCAAAATAATTTCCCTACTTCTGTACCAGTGCTACTAAAAATAAATAACATTTGAGACGTATTCATGAGGTATTTAGTAAGCATTGATTTGGCCATTTGCTGGTCAAAGAGGGTAAAAGGTCAAAACTGGGCCGATATAGTTTAAAAAAACATTTCTACGTTGACAAGAAATACTATTTTCCCTTTGACAACAGAAGCTGTGCACATGTTGAAATATATTTTATCAAAAGGCTTGAATATCTGAGCTGGACCTAAGTATAATCTTTAATATATGAGAATTAGCAAATGAGAGCGGTCTAGGTTACCGAATAAAGCACAAAGGAGGTGCATTTAGATGGCTACTGTACGTTTCTATGCCAGGGAGCAAAGGATCTACTGGCCCGGGGAGCAGAAAATCCTCACAACAAGGATTTCAAAAGTAAACATGTTCTCAGAAGAGTAAATACTTTGTGGTTCACATCATAAAACCCCGCTTCACATCATTTGACCGTATGCGTTTTCCTGTTGGTAAAGCAGAAAGAGACACTCTGATATATTTGCAGTGAGACAGAGAAGAAATGCTAACTGTGTGTTCTGAGTTATGTGCATTGCCCTCACTCCCAGCCATTTCCCCCCCTGGGAAGAAGACCTCTCCTCTCCTCTAACCTCTGCCTGCTCCTAATCCACAGCCCACTGGGAACACTGATGTGAGGCGTCTGGCGCGAGCCGTTCCCTCGGCCCTGTGCAGGACTTAAAAGGACAGAACTGCCCTGGTGTGCGCCCTGTTTTTCGGTCCCGACTCCACAGTAGCCGCAGAGAGAAGGTTCCCACTGGGAGAATGAGCACTGGAAGCACATCTGTCCGAAGGAGTCAGACGGGTGAGATGGGATCTGCTGCTGTGGCTCACATGGGAAACATTTCAATGAGTCCACTAAATGCACCTCTATTTCTCATCTTCACCGAGGGTGCGATGTGAGAAGATATTATATTGGGAGTCTAAACAAAGTTTTTTTTATTGGGAGTAAACATGTACAAAAATTGCAAAAGTTGACGTGAACCAGGAGGATTTCTTTCTATAACTGATGGGAAATATTTGTGTAAGATGCTATTTAAAGATGTTCATGGGTTGCATTGTCCTGAGAAATATCTATCCTTCTGCTTGGAGAGTCTTTGAGGCATCAAAGGTGAGTCAGAAGCATTTTCCTCTTTGCTCTGGCTCTGAAGTGCCATGGAAACTGCCACAAATATTTATGTCGGACAAACATTGGTGCATTGAGGGTACGTCTTGCTCCTGTGAGGAGCCAGCGCCACAAAGGGAGATGACGCTGTGTCACACTGGTGCGACCCAAATTTACACCCCTGTGCCCGGGACCTCAAACAAGCAGCAACAGCAACGGGGGCTGAGCTTGGAAAAAAGCCATCTTTGTCCTCAGGCACCCTTGTCCTCCACTCACCTACCTGCGAAAACCTCCGAGCCACGGCCGAATTTCAAAGGGCTTTCACCCCACTCCGCCTCACACATACGTTTCTGCACACGCGCGTACACTCTACCATCACCGCCGACACGGAGCTACGGGCTTCATCCGCCACCCAAACACCTTCAGCACAGATTCTTGTGTGCATTTTGAGGAAGCACAACATAATTTGATGCATAAGTGAAATGAGAAAAAAATGAGAAACAAAACGGCCTTACCATCAAGATCCTCTGGCCTGGTGAGGTCAATAACTCTGTGGCCGATCTTTGCCTCCTCCCCCAGCTTGCCAAGGTGGTGGCCGATGCTCTCATAATGCGCCCTCTCCTACAGGGAAACACAAACAGTCAGGTACATGGACAAGCACACACACACACACACACACACACAAGAGAATTGTAAAAATAACCCCATCAGGAACCGGAAAATTTGAAAAGAAAAAACATTTCTTTGGTAAATAGAGGTTCTTTGAAGAGCTGCTCTTTTGACACGGGCTAGATGTAGCTTTTTTCTCTCTCTCTATTCAGCAGCTGCTATAATGGATGACAGGAGGCACGGAGACAGTGAGGGCCAGGGGTGCTGTAAATAGATTTACAGAAGGATACTTTGTGATCCGAGGCACACAATGGGGCCGTGGCCCTCTTTGCAGTGCTCAGATTTTTCCTGTGTAATCTTCTCTTTACATCCTCCCTTCCAGTCTACAGTGCCCAGAGCTCAGCGCCCATCATTTATTCAGAGTTCATGCTTTAGAGAACACACCGTGTTTTCCCGTTTGTCATGTCGCTTTGTGCTCAGATTAAACTTGGCATCATGTTGTACTTGACGCACAATGAAACCCTGTCATTCAGCGCTCCGTGACAATATTAAATGTCATGTCCGTGTGCATTTACAGAATGAAATAACAGCTTTCCGGGGGCCTTTGAATAGTTGCTGCACATTACACTTAATGTATTATGCAAGGGGAGAGTGCCGACTGCTGCTGTCTCCATTGTTGAATGACCTACTTCCTCAGTGAATACACAGGGCATTAGCAAAGGGCTGTCTTCCTCTCTAAAGACTCAACTAGGAGATGGACACTTTGACTCTGCATGATACAAATAATCTCTCCCCCCGCTAAGTTTCGCCTGGATGACACTAAAAGCAGGCATGTTGCCACCATTCAGGGAAAAAAGCATTTGTTTTACTCCCAGGGTGAGTGTTCAATCTCTGCCAAAGATGTACTGTCTGCGCTGACCTCTGCCTCTTCCTTTTCTAAACATCCCTATCACACGCAGTCCGAATAGATACTCAGGTAGTCCCCACACAATACTAACAGCTCCCCTGGCGCACACACCGACAAACACACATTAACCTTTTAGATCATTCTTTGTGATGCATTGCACCGTTTTGTGCCTTTTTCACTTTTTGTCAAAAGGGAGGTTTGTTTCTCCCCGCTGACAGCAGACGAGTAAACACACTTAACTATCTTAAAATGTGTTTTCTTAAGCCATCATTTGATGTATTTTCCTAACAACAACTGTCAGTATTAACAGCACATTTAAAAAAATAAAAACAATTAAGAAATCAGTCATTTTTTTTCTTTGGGAAAAAGATGACAAAATGAAGGATGACGAGTTAAAATCCATATGAGGCCTTTCACAGTATTTTGATTTTCCTCATGTTTTTATTTGTTCAAGAACTATTTCTCAAAAGAAAAGACTGCGAAAGAGACAGAAAGAGCACTGCAATTTACCATCATACTTGAAGGAGCGGCCATTATTTATGGCCAGCTCAGTGATTCCGATATACAATTAACCACTACCTGCTTATGGCCTGTGATTAGAGCCTGTCTATCTGATGGCCCTTTGCTTACTTAAGTGTTTTCTAATTATGACATATGTGGTGGTCCCTGCTGGGCAAGAGGACGCTTTGTAAGGGGAAGATGGAGTAGCGGGGTTCTCTCTCCGTGTCACACTCTGCGTAAAGCAACACACGCACTGAGCTGTATTCATCACCCAGCCACATTATTGCTCTTAATGAAAGAAGCTGGCAGCCCGAAGACAAAGTGACTGATGTGCGATTAGCTGGTGGGCAATGGGGCTGCCTCTGATTTTACTTGGACACTCCGCAAGGAAGACGGGTACTGTATGTGTGTAATAAAGTAGTCATCTCGTCCCTCTTCTGCGCTTCCCTGATCCCTCATGATCAATCAAGTCCCTTTATAAACTCATGATCATTAAGCATCATGTTGGGCTGAGAAGGAGAGCAAACACGGCCCATCTATCAGGGAATTTCATTAATAACTAGCTCAGTGTCTAACTTCTTTCTCCACCGCACAGAGTCATATGATCAGTGAACATTAGACAGCTGGGAACATGAGGCTCTTGTTTGAGAAGGCTGACATAAATATGATTAACATAAAAAAAAATGATTGACATAAAAAATCTGTTGTTATACAGAAATATCTAACCCTTCTGTGTGGTAGCTAATTAAAAATCAGAATATTTGTTCAAACGACAAAAAGTAAAATAAATATGTAAGTTAAAGAGACAGGAAACAAAAGATGTAACAGTACACATTATTCCCCTCCTGTTCTGACCATGACCGCAGGCAAAAAAGCGGTGCCTCCCTCAAATTACTTCAGCGTGCAGCTCTCCACCCCACAACTAAAATTACCGCCATGCACTCTGAGCTGCAGTGGAAAACTGCCACCCACAATAATCTAATCTGCTCTGCCTGCGCAGTCTTTTGTCTTCAAAGTTCGGGAACAGATGCAGTTCATTCAGTCGCGGACGGCTGCCCAGTGATGTCACGAGCCAGTCGTGTGTAGTCACGAGTAACGGAGGAAGAGAGGGAAGTAGCAAGAGGAAAGATAGTGGTCTCTGTAACTTCTTGGGCGAGGGAACCCAAAGGAGCCCTTGTCAATGCTGTAAAGAGAGCTTTAATCTGGCCGGCCGCAGAACATGTGCCGGAGGCCTGCTGTTCTGCCCACAGGGTGTATTCTGGGCAGAGGCGGGTGGCGGCCCTCTGCATTGTGCCTACTCCTGCCCTATATTTAGGCAACGCATTGCCAATCCTGACACTCCTTCACTCTCTCCTTTGTAAATAGCTCAAGGCCGTAGGCAAAGCCATATTGTTTGTTTCAATTCAAAGATGGTTGAAAAAGAGATGAAGAGTAAAGTACACTGTTGGTTTGGGTGAAGTTTAGACACAAAATGTTATCTTTATCTGGATAAAAGTTTTAATCATATAAAGTAATCTTTTAACACATTACAACAGATGAAATGTATGTTAGTGTTGAAAATCTTCACAATGATGGAACCTTTTCTTGGCCCATATACCTTAATTAAATATATATATATATATATATATATATATAAATATTTTCTTTTTGTTATGGTTGTTGTAATTAACAGATTATGCTTGTTGTATGCTTGTGATTTCGGGAACAAAATGAACCGACCCCATATTAAAAAAAAGGAAATAATGTAAACTAGATGTACTATTAAGTGGCATGTTTGCTTGCCAATATATATATATATATATATATATATATATATATGAGTATCTGAAGAAAAAACTGCTACATCTCTTTTAAGCAGCCGGCAGGCACGTTTTACTGCTTCTGAGATAACTAGTTAACTAACTGGTCTGGTTATTTTTTAGTTCTAGTTTCTAGTTTATTGTATATAGAAAAAAATACATGTGTCGCCTTTTCTATGACAGCCGTAAGATCTCTAAACTATAGATAAAATCCGAACCATGTTGCATTTATAGTGGAAAGTACGTGATGTCATATGTATTAAAAAACAGTTTAACATCATTTGAACCTTTAAACAGCTGCAGGACCCTAAACAGTCACTTATGTGTGATAATGTGCAGAACTGGCTCTGGTCATATAACACACCTGGTACGAGGTAAGTGGAAGGCAATGGCCCTCTGACCACAATGCGGGGCTTTTGTGTATCAAGTGTCAGTCATCACTGTGGGCCGTGGCCCTCAGTCTTCTCTGTGAGGGTCTCAGACTAAACCCTTCGACAATCTGTACCAGCCCTGACGGAGACAAAGACTCCACTTTAACATGGCTACAGCTCCTCACAGCTCAGCGCCTCATCTGTTTTATATTTTTATTGTAACCGGTTGCAATGCCATTTATAGGTCTGCAACTTTCCAGTAGTTTTGAAACATTTAAATGTTAAGTACATCCAGCCCATGCGGTATAACCCACAGTTACTTTCATGCAGACCGTTGCTCTCTTTTTACCCGGAGCTCTCCCTTTGCAAAGTCTAATGAAGGCGGCAGCAAAATCAACAGTAGCAGCCACAAAATGCTGGCATCTGTTCTATAGTAGTTCTCCTCAACATCCCACAGTGCAGAAACGATCCGCTATGCCAGTCCTAGTTGTACTGCCAGGGCATCACCTCATTTGTTTAAAACAGAGGGAGGAACTGTGTTTGATTCCATTAGGGGGTTTGAACTATGTTTTAAACAATATTTTGGGGTAACTCTACTCAGGGCTTTGTGCCAATCGAATGGTCATTGTTTGAGTGAGTCAAACTCACAAAAGTTGAGTGCCAAGATAGAATGTGCATTTAGTCTAAACAATTGGATTTCTTCTACAAAATGTGTCTTCTTTGCGACATTTTCGTCCTTCTCCACACTGCTGAGATCATTTGCATTTGCATTATGTAGTTTTACGGGTTTCCAATCCTCAATGATCCAGAACTGTTCGCTGGGCCCTCCAGGGGAGGTTAAGTTGGACTGAAATCTCCTCCCTTAACAAAACCTCCAGGTTGCAAACAGCAGGACACTAGAAACTGCGGCATTACCAAAACCCCTTTCACATATGGACAAAACCCCAAGACTTGTTGGACACTGCTGCCATTATGCTCCCACGGCAACAATACCGTGGACTATAAATGGTCATTGTGGCTTATTCTTTTGCTCTTCCTCTGTATGTTCCTTGTGGTCAGTGCCGCATCACAGGTCTTAGTCACCTGGGCCAGCAGCATTTCTGAGCAACAGAAGCTGGCCAGGAATTCCCCATATAAAATGACAACCTCAAGGAAATAATGGAGCCACCACCGCCAAATGACCCTACCAAGATGCAGCCTTGATGTCTTTCTGCAGAAGATGCAAGACGGAGCTAACGACCGGACCTGGGACCGGAGCCCACAGACACACACACACACACACACACACACACACACGTATTATCCAGAGTCATATTAATTTTATTCTCTTGGCAAACATGGAGAATTGGACAAAGCATTAATGTAAGCAATCTCCACAATAGCGCTTGCTGACTATAGCCAGTGTCTAGGAGATGAGCATAATCTAATTTGGATGGGCAATCGCTTGTATGCTGAGGATTTATATTGCAGCCAAAACGCCTTGGTTTGCTATTTCCAAGACAGCAGCCCGAAAAAAGGAGCAGAAAATTGCTTCCAAGGCGGCAGACCAGACAAGATTATATTCAAAGTCTTTGTGAGGGCTTTGCCTGAATAGAGCCCTGGCATCACACATACACAGACAGACAGCGTGTGTGCAAACACAACTGCACACATACAGAGGAGAGACCAGTACAACCACTATAACCAATAGGTTAGGAGTCTTGATTTTGTGGAGCACAAGTGTAAGCTCCATTTGAATATTTACAAGCTGAGCTTTGGGACATTCCAAATGACCAATTGTAGTCATCAATACTGAGGAAAGAAGGTTTTGCAGGGCAGAAGAGGGCAGTTCAATAGGTTAATACACTGGCCTTTGGCCTTTTGATTTCGGTTCGGGACATGTCAGCAAAGGAATATATTTTATCTCACACAACCTTCAGGGCATCACACATGCAACGTCAATCGCAACTTAAGAGATATTGATGCACCCATGTAGAAATGTGTCTGACAATACAGAGTTCAACAACCAGGCTTGCCCAACGGCCCAGGGCCAATAAATTGCATATTTGGGTGAAGGAAGTCTTTCATCTCTTTATCTCAGTTTGGCCTCTGGTGGGCTGGTGGGTAAATCGGATGAAGGGGCTAATTTTCACGTATTTAAAAATTTACAGCACATGTTATGCATTCTGGCAGAGCGGCAAATTGACCACACCTGTTCAGCTCTGTATTGATTAAGATGGACAAAGCAGTTAATTGAATGTTATGTTTGGTTACGTTAACAGTTTAACTATGGGTCTGGATTGGGACTAATTGATTTAAATATATTGTCTAAATATCTCAGTAAAATATCATTTTAGACTGCTGAGCTGAGCTGAGCCAACGAATATTCATCAGTTGTCCGTGATCTACTGACAATATATTCCAGCAGGTCATCAATGTTTATGACAAGATGGAAACATAGTTGAATCACTGCATTCAGCGTCTCAGTGAAAACACGGTTAATACAGAGGCTTCATATTTATTCAACCGTGATACTGAAAAAACGGCATCTCCAGTTATAGCTGCAGTGCATAATTGAGGGAAACAATTCAAATGGTTACAAATGGATTTGTATGTACTGTATTTGACCTGTAGGCATTCTGGCACGATCTAGGTAAAAGCCTCCACTGGGTGAGGAGGAGCTGGTAAATAATGGAACACAGTAATTGCCCTCCGCAGACAATAACACCTTAAGATAAATAAATATTTCAAAAAGATAAATTGCAGTAGGGCTGCAAAAGGTAGCATTGTACTGATGGGTAATAGTAAAAACAGACAAATGAAAAGAGTAGAAAGAGAAGACGCTCCTGCAATCTATGAATATTTTACATGTCCTCAGGTTACAGGCTTATATACTTTATAACAGAGAGTTTGATCTACACCGTGTTCTCCTAGGTCACTGACCAGGAGGAGAGACAGAGAGCTAGTCATAGTGTTAAGGTTAGGGAGGGATGCATTGTACTGTTCCTACATACTTTTTATGAAAAGATGAATTGATCCATCTGTAGGCAGCACTTAGAACCACTCCTCTCTCCGGGTCATTACAGTGAGATAAATCAATATTTAATATCCCCTTCTAACAGCCACGCTAGATGATCTTAACCTCTCCTTAATCCCATTAATGTTACCTTTCCAGATTCTTCTTCATGTAAGCTCTCTCTATGATAAACTTCCAAACAAGACACTAGGAGGGGGGCAGCTATTAAGCACTGCACCATATTTATGTCAGGTGAGAGGAGCTTTCTTGAAATATTAATATTCTGAAACTGACCAAAGTGAAAGCTTTTATCAGGGGGTATTCAAACCTTTCTTACTTCGTGGGCTTGCATCTCCAAATACCATCTCCCCTTCTCTTGTTCATTTCCCCGCTGAATTACAGCTTACTGTTCTTTATTGCAGCCGAAGGATGAAGATGATGGGGCAATTCTTTTAGCTGACTTGATAAAGCGTGCCTCTCATTCCACACCAGGCTAATAGGGCCAGTGTCAACGAAACTAAGAGGTGACAATATCTCACTATGATTTGCACCAGGCGGAGTGTCAAGCATGACAATAAATGATGCTGTAATAAAAAACAAGTGTGTGGGACTAAATTACTTACAAATGCAATGCAACGATCACTTTATCCACCTGAACTTGCTCTATTATTCGGCACTACATTTTTTGTCTAATCAATGCTATTTAGTAAAAGGTATTCAAACATTTTTATGCATTTTTATCACTTAAAAATTCAAATAAAATAAAAAAAATTCTCAAAAACATATTCTCCAATTTCAGGTAGCAAGTACAGACAAAAGGTAGATTACAAGTGAAGAATCACTGACTATTTTAGGCAGTAAATCCCTTCAGAAAAACAGGGGAAAATATTTATCCTCCTCTGAGATAGCTTTAACATATGTAGAAGAGAAAATTAAGAGGAAACTAACTTAGATTGTGTACAAAAGACTAAGCGGGGAGTGAAAGAAAAAGTCAAGCTCTACCTGCAAAGGACAATGGAGCTGTAGGTGTGTGCTGCCAGTGGAAAATGCGTCTTTACAGGTATTGTTCAGCTCGTTCTTTCATGTCTCTGTTGGCACGGCTGCTTGGTTGACTGAAGGCTAAAAGGGAGGCAGCTGTACCAGCGCCCGTGTTCTCGTGCTCAAAGCCACGGCATACCTGTTTCCCTGTTTAATCTGTGAGAATGTTTGTCTGTACGATTAAACCGATTACTGTTAAGTTTGTTGTCTCTGTGGATCGCCGAGGAGCTGCTGTGTGTGTGTCCTCTCCGCGGGCCGAACCAGCGGCATCGCTTCTCTTGAGAAGGAGGATAGTTTATTGCCACCTGCACAGGCAGTGACCTATTCCAAACGCCACATTACAGGGTAATCAAAATAGATATTCGTTGACTTTTTTACATATACATTGACCTAGTTGAGGCTGTTGGTTGAAAGTGTCAGGTGCTGAAATATTAATGAGCATCGCTCCCAGTTCCTGCCTGCTCCTCACAGCCAACTGGCAACATGGCATCAAGCTGAAGAAGGGAGGACGGCTTTTTTTCCCCTCCTTGATTGACTCATCGATTGAAGATATTTTTAAAAGGGAATCCCTGGGAGTGTATGCTCCTGGTACAAAGCAGCCCCATCCTGTGTCAGGGGACAGAGAGGGCTGCACGTCTGCTTTAATTGGGCAGAGACATCAGAGTCTTCTTAACCCACACCGGGCACCGCCGTGGCCTGTCACGGCCCTCACACCAACATCAACAACGCCGAGCCCTCTAAACACACCAACGCACAGGCTCATTCGCACTCATTTGAATAAACACTCGTGTACACACTGAACTATGCCAGCTCTTATCAATATGACCACCCTGGACACAGATTAAATAAAAACATATTAGCCTTAAGAATAACTGATCAAAATCATCATGTTGCACTTTGTTTATAGTTTCTTTCCTCTTACTACTCGTGGTGTGAGCTTGATAAATGGCTTGTTGGAAAAAGCTCGCAATTGAGAAGACCCGAATCAGCGACAAAACAAAGAGAGACCGGATGTGTGACAGCAGTTCCAACCTTGTCAATTCTGCAGTTGTTGAGGCCCACTGAGTTGAGGGCGGACAGCTTTGCCTCTAAGCCCTGCTGGTGATGTTGCAGCTGTTCCCTCTGGATCTGCTCTCTCATTTTCCGAGCCTCCTGGATGGCCTTCATCACAGTGTCCTGGTCTCCGAACAACGCGGTAGAGTTTAGGCTGGACAGGATGTCTATTCAAACACACACGTAGCAGAGTTAGTTCACTGCAACACACACGCACACACAGCGGAACGGAGGAAAAAAACAACTTGACGCAGAATGTGAGTGCAGAGTGTGCGTCTCTTTGGGAAGGAAAGATCTTACCCAGAGATGAGCCCCGGCTGAGGCCTCCTGCGAGCGGGCTGGGGAGGCCGCCCTTGCTCAGCAGACTGTTGGGGCTGCTTTTACTTCCCAGGAACAGGTTTTGTGTCGGGGACGTGGGGGATTTCATCAGGTCCGTCGTCTTTGGCCGAGCAGACAGGTTGAGCGGCTGTGTTCCCTCCTCCTACGGCACGCAGGAGTATTGAGAGGAGACAGATGTTAGTAGGTGCGCCTCCCCCCCTCCCCACCCCCCCTTCCACTTTTGGAGGGTATAAGGATTCCCAGACGACACAATCCTCCTCTGTTCCTAGTTAATTACAGGAAGCCTATCTTGACCCACACCTCCTCTCCGGTTCTGTCCTCTCTTTCTCCTCACACATCCTTCATTAGGAGCTGTGCCACTGAGATCTTCTTCACAGTTGCCCGGTGCCTTTGTTCGCGCTAATTAAAGCAGATTCTCTTTCTGAACGTCTTCATCTGTTCTCCCTCTCTTCCTCCCTGCTCTCTGTGTCTGTACTCTGGTTGGAAGAATAAATAATGACCAGATAACGGCGGTGCCAATGATCAAAGACAGCTGTTCCATTCATCATACGTCAACTTACATTAGCCACTTCATTAACTTGTTTTATAATTTCACTCTTCTTTTGTGAATTCTTGGCCTTATCATATTCTTTGACATGCTTATTTCTAAAAAAAAATGTACTACAGCGTCGTTTTGAGATGAGGTCAGAAGAGGATGCCTATTTTCTTATGTGTTTGCCTAAGCAGCTATTACACCGGGATCAAGCTTGTAGCATCTATGGGTACCTGATGATTAAAAAATGTGTTTCAGAGCTTGCTTCTTTTATCCAAATGGTTTACACACTGATGATTAGGAGTATGATAAATTAACCTTAAGTAACCTAAACGGGTTATCATCCACTGTTAAAACAAAACTGTTTTTTAATGGTATTAAAACAATAACGTAAATGTCAAATATCAAATATCATCTTTAATTATAATCTGAATTAAGTATTCAAAGTATGTGTATTCAAAATTCCGAGATAATGGAGAATAAAATGTCAACACCAAAATCAACGTGTATCATTGATTAAATACAATAAATGCTGAATTATTTTGAGTAGACACAACTAAAACTTTTAGCACAGCAGAAGAGAAATGTCACTTTGATACGGTATAAATCGCCGTGTGTATACAGCAGTCTTTTAAATCAGATTAGGGTTTATGCTGTCGTTAACAGTCTTTTTCAAAGCCCAAGTGTCTCCTTGTCCAAACATATGGCTCAAGCATAGACTGCCCCAAGGCCTTGTTATTGCTGTGCCAATAACAGTTTGTCATGCAGTGAAGCTGAGAGCAGACAAACAATACCAAGAGTGATCTGAGTGCATTGGACTTTAAACATGTTTATTTTCCATTTATATCTCATGACTCAATTTTGTCAATTTTGAAATTAGAATTGGTTTTGAAACAATTTGTGGCCTAATCCTTCAATTTAAGAATTGTGTATGAATGTGTGTAAAAGCCTTTCCTCCCATGACATGATTTATGTTTTTTTTCCATTGTGATATTATTACTCTAAACAATTCAAAATGGGCGTATGTACCTGATTATAGCCCCTGTGAGTGGGGGTGATGATGTACGCCTCTCCGCTGCATGGAGGTCTAGTGGAGCCATGCCATGCAGCAGCAGAAAACACACATCCTGCATTTGGTTTGTTTACAAGGAAAAGCAGTCAATTGAACTTTTCTCTTCTTAACTCTGGTCCTCATTTGCTGGGCACTGTTGTAATGGTTTTTATTCCAATTCAGTAATGAAAAAAGAAAGAAAATAACTTTTCACTGTGATTTTTTTTTGAAAACCATGTGTTCCACAAATTACTGGCTTGGAACAGCCATAGCCATAGCAACCGTGTCCACAGAAGTCTGGTTAAGAGAGAGAGGGCCTTGTTAAAGCCCCACAGATTGATGGCCTGTTAGAGGCGGGGCTCAGCACCCGCCGGCTATAACACTGCAGTGAGCGGTGCAAAAGGCTTCTATATTCAGACGGCACTAACTAGGCTAGGCTAGGTCAAGCAAGTACCACTCAAGGTCTAGAACGGTTGACGGAGTTGGTGGTTGTACCTTTACGTGAGTGATGGGACTGGAGGAGCTCTTGTCATTCTTCAGAGACGAGGGAGAAATGGGCCCACTGGCATTGAGGGACTGGGGGAGTGGAGGCATCTTGGCTCCAGGAGAGACCTGCATGCTGGCGAGCTGGGCGGCATACAGTTGCTGTGGGGGGGGAGAAACCCGTTAACATCCAAATCCAGCATACATTCAAAGTCGTATAGTCTGTCTTTTCCTCTCCATATGACTCTCTGCTGCTTCTGTGTCGGCCTTCATCTCCTTCTCTCTCTCTCTCTCTCTTTTACGTCTTTCCTCTCTTTCCATGAGGCTGGCAGAGAACCTCCATCAAAGGTCTTAACTGTATTTCAAAGGCTGAACCCAGAGAGAGACAGCAGTCTTAAAAACCACACAGAGATGGCTCTCATTCAAAATACTTGGAGCCCCTATTTTCCACTCATCACAGAGAAAAGTTAGCAGACTGGATGCAAGTGTGGTAGCAGAGATCTAATTTCTCCAGATCGACACAGCGTCCTATTGAAGTTTCTGGCCTGGGATCCGTCTCCACGCAGCCATGTGACACAGTCCCAATCCACAATGTTAGAAACCAACATCAGTTGGACTGCCAAAACAGACTATATTAAACAGCATTATTACGGCTGGAGACCTGTACAAAAAACTCAGTCAGTAAGATGTGTGACTGTTGGTTACATTACCACACAAGAGAGTGGTTCAAATGACTGGGCGGAGCATTTAATACCAGTGGGGCCTGTAACAGGTTGGAATTCTGAAAGCTCAATTTATATTTCCACCACTGAGCTGATTGTGTGGCAAATAAAAAAACCGGGTGGTTAAAGACGTCAATACGAAGATTCTGGTGACTCACAGACTGCCAATTGTTGGTTGGGTTGGATTTTTGACAGTAATACATCCTTCATTTTGGATAAAAAATACAGTCTAACCTGACATAAAGTAGTAAACTCATATTTTTATCATTACAAATAACATGTTTTTTTTTACCTCCCAGTATCTGTACACTATGTGCACCTTGTAGAACTTGCTTTTTTGCTTTATATATACGATATACTGTGCTGTCAGAATGAATTTAATTTCTCTTAACAATCGGCGAACGCTGTTTCATTTCCTAGTTGGACTGCTTATATAGCGAATGCATTTGTGTGAATGGGAAAAGCCACCCGGCCCCACTGGCCTCACCTTTGACAGTGTGGAGGCAGACCGAAGCCAAACAAAGCTCTTTATGTCCGTGCACATTTCTCCAGTTATAAACACATATGTGCTCCTGTAAGAAACTTTATCGCTGCCACATAAGCGCCATTACAAAAGGTCCATTCTTCCAGTGGACCCGGGGATAACAACAGTGCATGGGCAGCGGAAATGACAGACCGATTATGTTCCTACAAAGATAGCAGTGCCCCCACCTCGCTCACAAACAGCCTTTTGTCTCAGCCTTTTGACAGGAATAGACACAGGAGTCAACTCTATTTTCTTAGGATCTGAGCTAACCTTAGTTAATGGTTAGTGGTGAAAGCACTTTGTGTGATCTGTTTGCCTGTGTGTGTGTGTGTGTGTGTGTGTGTGTGTGTGTGTGTGTGTGTTTGGGTATGGGGGCGGGGGGGCTTTTCATTTACTGGATGTCACTCCAGGCTAGTCTTCCTAGAGCAACGGAAGTGGAGTCTGCTGGACAGATGTTTGCTAACAGGCCTGTCGACGAGCATGCCCCCGACCTTGAGTGGGAAGAACTTTATTATCCCGGAAAAAGAGCATAATTAGGCATCGCCTAAAATCAGTCGCAGTCAGGGAGCCCCTTTTCAGCACTGATTAGCGGGTCAGTGCCATGGAGGGAGAATCAGTGTTTATCCTTGTGACAAGGAACACTCTACTTCCAAGAGCCAAAGAACAATAAATGAAATCAGAAGGAGACACAGATGAAAGGTGGGTAAACCCACCACACGCTGCTGAAAGGTATATATGAAATACCTGTTCAATGTGTAGAGTCTGGACAACTTTGCCGTAGCACTGCGGTGTGCTTCGGTGAAAGAATAATGAAGTTACGATAGGATTGTTTGACATCCAATACATAATTAAGTTGGTAACAGCAACTTCTTAAAAAACAGAACAGGAAATTGTCAATTAAAAAAAAAAAGTATTGTGGTGTCAAAAGTTGAAGGACTATGCATCCTGCCGAGGCTGGCCTCCCTAAGCATGAGACATCTGCCCGCTTCTAACAACATCTAACAACCCCTTATTCATATCTGCCTGCCAGGCTGGGGCAGCAAAAGGTTCCTGGTATCTAGGGTCAAGCTGAAAGTCAATACTCAACTCTGGGGTATTGGAGCTCAAGACCCCTCCGTTTCCTATACACGTGTAATATAACTGTAGACTATGAGACATGTATGGAAATAAATGGCTAAATGAGCATAACAGCTAACGGGATTGGAATATGGTATTCAGATAGTGTGTTTTGTGGTTTCATTGTTTCTTTAGTAGCACATTTTTGCCTTCATTATGTTATTGTTTCTTTATACAGATACAGGAAACATAAACGAGGAGACATGTTAACACCACATCTAAGGTCTTCCCTCTGACCCCATTATTCCCTGCTCCCCAGTAGAGCGGAGCAGATCTCAGCAAGCATGGATTCAAAGTGAGTGCAGCACACCCAAGGTCAGCCTGTTAGCCTCTGGTAATTAAAAACAAGCCCTCTGAAGGCAGCAGAGGTTAAACGGGGAGGTTCACTTCTTTGCCTGCGACATTACACTGAAATTACACACTCAGCCAATAATGTTAGACATCTCAGAAGTAGAATATGCAATTAAGACCGTCTTCCTCTGTTTGTTTAGTGAAACAGCGCAGCCGTTACCACAGCTCGGTATACAATATAATCAATTATGAGAAAAAAAACACATTGATTTGTTCGTAGTGCCCATTATTTATATTTCTTTTACTTCCGCAAGCAATGGAGCATATGCTTTTATAATAAGTAAACAACTCTCAACAAAAAAAGTCTGAATTGCAGCATGGCAATTCGTGCTGGAAAATACAGTGCTGATTATCGTTTGATTCCTTGTATCCAATTAACATCCTGTGCTTTTCTACATGATGTGAGTATTTGCCAACGACCGGCACGCGCTTCTGTCTCTTTGTGTGCGAGCGCGTCTGTCTGTCAATGTCTCATTCACCTCTGCCCGGCCCGGGCGATGAGCGCTGGGCTGCATATGAGGGCATTAACTGCACTTGAGTGCACCGCACCATTTAAAAGGCAGCACAGCGCCAGCCCCGTTAGCCACAAGGCTTGTACAGGCTCATTGCCCAGGGCGACCGGGGCAGGCTGACCCAGGCTAGGCCCAGATGTCTGGAGTGGAGGAAGGCGTCCTGGTGCACTGTGCCGATGCTTTCCAGTATGGCCCAACATCTGTCTCATCTGCTGGCGCCCAACCTGCTCGGCTCCGACCTCCTCCTCTTGCCCGTCTCTATCTTACATCTACAGCATACGTATATTCTGAAGTCTATCACTTCCCTCGAAAATTCGCGCGCACACACAAACACAGTCCGTCATCCGTAAGTGTGTGTGTGTGTGTGTGGGTTCTCCGTGCCCCGGGGGCCCCAGAGCCAGCCCTCCCATTCAGTGCAGCTCACTGCATTATCCACTCTATCTGTCCATCTGTCCCTCTGTTCACCGCTGCCTCTATCCAGCTGCTCGCGTAGCCGCCCTATTAGCCAGCCTTCCACACACAGCTAGCATTGCTGCACTGCTCTGGGTTACCTTCAAAGGCCCAGCTCCTCCGCTCATAAACACAGAAACAGCTGCTCTCGACAGTACGTCTGTACTCTCCTCTCTCCCCTCCTCCTCTCTCCCTGGCGGTCAAAGTCAAAAGTGCTTCACTTGTTAATGATGGAAGCTGCTTCCTTCACATCTGTACTACAGAGGCATTTACATCCAAACAAAAGATAATGTGCGGTTTGCCGCTCGCCCATTTTTCTTCCTGTTTCTCCCTGATTGTGCAACACTGTTTCTTATCCCTCTGGTAGTCTAAGCCTCTGAGTACTCCTTCAGATGTGCTTGTGTGCTTGAAATTTGGACCGGGTTGTCGCTGAGCACGCGAGCCGCTTTTCATCTCTACAGCGGGAGCATTAGCTGAGGCCGGGCCCAGGTTTATCACGGGCCCAAAGCGATGCCACCGCACACACGGCGGGCGGTAATTGCGGCGTTAAGTCTCGACTCAAGCACCTCGACTTCAAGCGCTATAAAGAATGAGGACGTGATGGGCCGAGACAATTCAGGGGGGGGGGGAGCAACACAGGGACGGAGTGAGCAAAAGAGAGGATGGGATTATTTCAAAGAGAAATACACAAACTAAGATACGGAGAGATGGTTCAAGATGTGGACGGGGAATTGGAAAAGCCGGACGGTGAGACGGCGACAGCAAGCAATAGAAAAGGCAGCTTTGACTGATTGAAAACAGAGCGTTTCTATTTATTTTGTCCTAACGGCGATACCGCACACAGAGAACCCAGATGTTCTCTTTTATCCAATAACACTTTCTTTAAAATGACTTAAACACTGAAGTCTGCCTCCAATGACACAAACAGGACTTTTTCAAAAAGGTCCTCCTCCTGCTCATTGGTTCTGTAAAAAGGACGGGGCAATGCCAAGGCACAGCGTACAGACAGAGAATTAAGTGCCGTCCCAAATAGAAGATTCTTTTGTGGAATTAGGGAAATCTCTTTCTTGCCTTTTCACTCAATTGAATATAGTAGGTGTTGCCGATAGATTGGGGTACAATCTGAACGCAATTTCCTATGTTGGGTGAGGGGTGTCACTTGTAATCAGGGGAGGCAAGGCAAGGACCAAGCCATTGTTTCCTCCTGGTCCTGGACTCATCCCAGCTCTGTGTGGCTCCTAATGAAGAGGGGCACGTCGCGCCCGATAGTTTACCCGCCCTCCTCTCCTGTGAGTTGAGGACGAGAGCCAATCTGTCAGGAAAACATTGAGTGAAATTGCCTCGTGGTACAGCAATGCCCGGTGACAGCCACTTGCAGACTGCCAGCCACCGGAGTGATGCTACCACCTCGCATTGACAAGCAAATTACAGTCTCCAACACTCAAACGCGGCCTGGAAGATTCATTTACATCCATCAGCTCTAAGCCTTTGTTACCTTGTTGGGTTTTTTTTGCTCATTGGAGAGAGAGGGCGGGGAACAGGGGGGAAGCCTCCCAGACTGTTATGACAGAGGAGATTGTGGAGCGGCTACGTGGCCAACATTAAGAGTGACGGAGCTGCTGGCCTCACTGACTGGATGGCTGATCATATTACCTCGGCTGCATTGTGGGAATTAATTCTTCCAATAAGATAATTTTTATGGTTCATATATTGCACAGTCTAAGCTGAGCAAATTGGTGAAAATTACACCTTGCCATGAAGCTGACAGGAAGAGATATTTTAATTGTGGGGGGGCTGCCTATCCAACCATATGTGTGTGGTATTTTGTGTGTGTTCAGACGATCAAGAATGGTTTTGGAGGTGAAAGTAGAAAAGTTCAGTACAGTTTAACGGGTTAGTAAAGCTTATTAAAAAAGTTTTTTTTACTCGTAAAAAATATTACCAGTGGCATTTAAAAGTTGTATCATTACAACACTGGACATCATTTCAAAGTAGCCGTCCCGTTTTTACTACATGAACCCTGAAGAAAACTTCTTAGAGTACTACAGAGTGTAGCTCAGATACTTTCAACTCAATGTAAACTGTTCTCATTCGGTTGCCGTAATCACGAGTCCTCTCTGTCTAAGACAAACAAACAGAAGAAGCGACTACTGGAGCTATTATTGCTCCAAAGGGAGGATTCAATTTTAACTTCATTCCATGTCTGGCATGATATGATTTTTTAATCATAGCAGGCTCCCAGTGCTTTGTAGAGTAAGTGGTGGAAGTCACATGGTTTGTTGATCCCAGCTATGTAGAAAAGGGCATGTTTGACTTGCCTTGCTGTTTTAAGGGGAGTCTCTATGCAGAGTAAATAGCAGCCAGCAGGCGGAATATGTGACAGGCTGACAGACTTCAATTAATGGAAAATGCACCTCTTTCTGTTTACTGTGTTCTTAAAGGTCAGCCAAGTCATGGTCTTAGAAGCACTGTTTTTGCCCATTCCCAGGGTTAGATACATAATCCAAATTAATCACTCTTCCCTCCTCACCCCAACCTTCAGATATATGACTGTCTCGTCTGACCTCATACACCATTATAAATAGACTATGCATGCCTGTCTGAACCACCACTCCTTTCCAAAGGGCCTCTCCATGATATAGTAAAACTAAGCGACACATGTACACTCCAGAAAACATGTTCAAATACGCAGTCTCCACCTTTTGCTCTCTCGGACACACGTCCTCAAACATGAGCAGACTCATTTAACACCTCACGTGGTTCTAATAGCTCCTCTCATGGCTGCATAATGACGCACAACTCTTAAGAGCCAGCTGCATGCATTGTTAGAACTTGCCAAGGCTCGTTAACACTGACAGATGTAACCTCAGAAGGACAAATGCCACATATATCAATGTTCCTCCCTTGGTCTTGAGCTCTAGTTTTATCTTGAAATACTTCTTTCTGCTGTTGAGCACCACATGTTGCAGCTTTCAATAAGGTTTCCCTGTTGTTGACGAAGCAGCATCGGCCATAACCAACTGTCAACTGTGTTTGTTTGCTCCATTTATCTCCAAACAACAAATGTATCGTTTCAGATAGAATTAAGATTTACAATTGCTAACAAATGCGAAGGAGACTGATTATTAGAGAAGCAACAGGCAGCAGGGCAGCAGAATAAATATGGTTGTTATTCAGCTTTTCGTTGCTACTTCTTTGGTTTTGTTATACCATATATTATATATGTAAATACAAGTCAGTAAAAAGTTAACAAGGGAGACATTATCACCAATTTGGGAACAAAGATTATCCATAAGCGCAGGCAAGCGGTGGTAACAGTAGTGCCAACTTGAAGGATGGAACAAAGCCAATTATCTATATTAAATATTATGGCCCCAGGTTAAGCCATGACCTGGGATCGGCTCTTCTTAAATGCTGCGTGAGAAATATCCTGGAGGTGCCTGTAGGGCTTGGAGCCTATCCCAACAATTTATGTAGCACAAAACCTCTGCACAACCTCACTGTGTATAACACAAGTAACTATATATAAAAAGTTCACCCTCTTTCTCTCATTTTCTTTGCTCACAGAGACCAAATATTAAAGTGGCTCTAATAGACAAAAGACGAAAAGAGATTCTTTGCTTACACACTCAATCACCTTATAATAAACTCACTGGCAGGCGATTAAAGCAACGAAAGTGATTCTTATTCCCTCAAATAACTATTATCTTCCTAACTCCTGTGACTGCTGGAGGTAGTGGGGATAAATCCTCTATAAAACAGGATAAATTACATATGTTAGGGGATAAGCGCGTGTGAGCTGGGGGCCTCCAGGATTATTTAGTGCGCAGCTCATTACTTAGCGTACAGCTGCTTAGCCATCCTTTCTACCCCGGGCTTGGCGGGCGTCCCTCGCATTCTTTGTCATAGTATTGTACATACCTGGAGCTGAAGAGGGCTGAGTCCTGACGCTGCTGCAGCTGCCATCGTGGATGGAATGAACTGCACGGGGTAGTTATCACCTGTCAGAGAGGGAGAGGGAGACAACAATGCATACAGGTTCAGACAATGAGCCGGCCCACAGCGACCAGGCAAGTGCCAACAAGGATCCTGAGCTCTCCACTGCTCCACCACAGCAATGTGGCACATTGCAACGAGCCATCGGCTTCAAGCCCAAACATCTGCATTTACAAAAGGGTAAGCTTGTTGGACCGGAGCAGGATTACTTAGGCAGTCCCACACCATTCCCTCCTTCTTCCACCTGCACAGTACTCCTCCTGGAAATAACTACTACATAGTTTAAAGTTCTTTTAAGGTTTGTGTGTGTGCGTGTGTGTGTGTCTGTTTATGTTCAGAATACATGGCAAACATCTCCCTGCCTATGCGATTATTAAGGACCAGCATGTTCTCTCATGCGGTTCATACAGCTGTGGACTTGCCCGGCTATTGTTCAACACTACATTGTTTGTTTCTGAGTGATTTGGCAGCGAGGTGAAAGCACTTGTATGCAAACTGGTTCGAACAAGTGTGTAGTAACAATAACACGGGTGAAGAAAAGAAAAGAAAAAAGCACATTCTTATCCATGCATATCACTGGGATCAAGCCAGGAAGATGAGTGTCCAAATGGCAGCACTATTTATTACCATTCCCTACTGTTGGTGCCATCAGCACGTTTGTCAGGATATGGAGGATATAAAAAAGACGGCTGCTGCATGAGTGATATCCACGGGGGTGTTTAACCAGGTCCCAGACACTTTCACACACTCAACCTAGTGTGTTGAGACGGACAGAACAGCCCCAGTGAGACTCTGCAGCGCAGCGTTCAGGAGGGAGGGAGGGAGGGTTAAAGCATGTGCCTGGAGGAGGTGGGGTTGACAAAGGGAGTGGGGGGGGGGGGTAGTTGCCCTTCGCTCAGACCCCACTTCTGCCTGTCACTTCTTCTCACAAACATATAGAGCCATTAAGCCACAGACAAGTTAAATGTATATACCTTCTCTTTCACTTTGCCCTCGCCTGCTCGCCTCACTTTGCAATCTTGTACAGCACAGCACAATGTGATACGGGCCATGGAAATTCAATCCCCATTTAGTAGCAAATAAAATCACACAGCACAAGTGGTTTCAAATAGTGCTGGCTTGTGTGTGTAGGGGTGCACTGTGGTTATTTCTACACCTCCCTTTTTTTGGTATCGCTTTTCTCTCCCTCTCACTGGGCTGTCTGTGACGTAAGAGTTGGGAATAATAAATGGCTGGATGTCTTTGGATGTCATGTGAAAACTGAGGAGGGTCATTTGCTAAGTGAGCACACCAACCACTGCTGGGTTGTCGGGCTCCGGGGGCCTGTGAGTCTTGGGTGAACACAGCCGAGGCACCCGACTCCTGCAGAATGGGCGTGGTGCCAGGTTAACGCCACTGGTAAAAAGGGAATTACAGTGTTTTTTATTTAACTGGCCACGGCGGGTCCCATGCCCGCAGCCTGGATTCTAAATGCAAAAAGTGTGTGTGTGTGTGGGGGGTGAGGGGGGAGGGGGGTGCAGGTGACGCCATGGTCACATCAGGCTATATTTCCCTGCTCATGCAGTGCCATGAAATATAAGTAATAGATCTGTCGAGGGTTGACAGATGCAGCGGAGACCTTTCTTAGACCAGATCAAATGATGATGAATGAAGTATATGACGACAACCCTCAAACTTGAGCTTCTCTTTTCACTGGCTTTTACATGCCATTAAAATACCAAAGCTGTTAGCGGAAAAGCAAGCTTACATGAACATTTTAACAGGGTAATAAAAGGTTATAATTCTATATTGTTGAGATTTCATTCAGTATGTCTGATGAAAAAACTTAATTCACTTATTTTGATCGAGACACAAATACACATTGTGATAAAAAAGACCTGAAATAGAAATAAAATAGCACAAGGGAAATGTCAACTTTCAGCAGGATGTCCAAGTGGCGGACATAGAAACCCAAAGACTATGGGGTCATTCTGCATGTCCATTAGCGCCACATCAGACTTAATGCCACCATGTCTGTGTAGATGGTCTAAACAGAAAGGGGAGTCTATTTGTTTAGATGTTTTTATGACTGTGCTTGTCTACCATGCAACACCAGGCCATTGAGCACAGCCAGTAGATGGGTGATGACTTACCACTATGGTGCCAGAATGACTGTTGCCATGTGGGCACCACAGGGCTGAGGGGTCATAAGAGAGGTCCCTGGGAGCTTTCTCATAATGATAACATCAGATTAGTGTGCCTTAGTCTTGGAAGTGAATGCTTGGCCACTCACTTCATGGAGAAAGGACATGACAGCATCCTGTCTACCCTGCAGGTGGTGGTGATAACATTGTACTTTCTGGATACATGGCGTATATTGTGTTGGTCGGCGAGAAGTAAAAGAGGTTTTAGCTTTGCGAATACCTCTCCTGACTACCCAAGTCATTTTCAGACCCCCTTTGCTTTTCCTCCATGAACTCATGCATTATGCAGGAACTATACACATGACGACCCCTGACCATGATTTCCTAATAGCTCCTGTTATTTGAACTAAAACATTTTCCATGTCAAACCTATTGCACAAAGCGCACTAGTAAAAGACTCCCCCTCAGGCACTTTGTTTAAGCTGTCATGGCTCCATAGTTCCAAAATAGCTGACTTTCGTTTTCATCCTGTGGTTTTATAGTTAATTCATTAACTGCCCTACCACACCTTTTAATGTTCGGCTCCAAACCTGCTGACTTCCCAGTGCTTCTGTTTTTAGTCCTTTTTCCTATTCCAGTATTGTTTTATAATAACCAGGAAAACTTTATTTTTTTTAAGATGCCTTATACAGTAAATATTTTTTTAAGCAGCAACACATAAAAACAGCTTAATGATAAGATAGCTAAGAGAGTCATGTAAAAAAATTGTTCTAGGCTCTTGGACAAAGAAAGCATGTAAGGGGAAAAGCTGAGGCTGAAAAGAAGGAACCTTTTAGGCCAGGGATATTTTTTATATTTAACATAAATACAGTAGTATGTGGTGGCACATCTTTAATTCTCTTAAGGATATAATGGTGTATGAGGTTACTCCTTTAGTGGGGCGTTGGACAACTTTGAAACAACATTTCATTATTATTTTAAAGGCTGTGGAAAGCTTCTGTTTTAGTTTAAAAATAAAAAGGGAAAGAAACACGGCATGCTGTTACAGGCAACGCTAACTGTTACATGCAGAAAAACCGGTTCCTCACACCATCCAAGCCATCCACCTTGTAATTGTCTTTCAAAATACATACTTGTGTTGCACCGTAAAAGGGGGAGTTGTTGCTATGCATATAACAGTGAGAAGACTTTTCATGCAAGTCTCCTTAACCTCCGACTGTGGATACAAATCAAATTTCACTGCCTCTAATGTTCAAACTGGATTAAAACATTCCCAGTCCTTAGTTCAAGTTCAGACAGAGCAGATCATGCCAGTGGGTTCAAGTGTGAATGAATAATTTGTTTGTTGCTGAGTGCATCCACTTTGGTAAGGTGAAAGGACATGGCAAGTAGAGAGAAAATGACAAACAGACGACTTAAGTGCAATCCTACCTGGCTTATAAGACATTCCCGGAGGGAAGAGAAATCCTTGCTGGGCGGCGGCTGCTGCTGCCAGAGTACGTTGGTCGTGTGGAAAAATGGGGATCATGAGCGGAGGCATGTGACCCTGGACCTGCTGAACAGATAGGGAGCAGAGATCAGAGAGAGAGGCCTGAGCATAGCTACAATACCCAGAAACACAGAGCCCACTCACAGGGAAGCCAGATCACAGCCCCTGCTAACGCGAGACGACAAGGGCACCCAGTGCTCGCACAATACCTGGCCGAGCTGCGCCTGCCCTTAATCCAAACCACAATTTCACCTCGGTACATCAAAAGACCCCCACATATGCACATATTGTTCCAGCGGCAGTGAGAGGAAGCAACATGCAGGACAGAGGGCAGCGAGGCTCAGAAGATCAGCACTGCTTCTTTAGAGAATTACTTTAGAGTGTTGAGGGAAGCACTCACCGACACACCGATACAACGTGTTTGCAGGAAGATTGCTGAACGTTTTATACAAGAGACTCTCACCTCAAGGGAAAATCAACTCCTGGCATAATCTTGGATATTCATATACTTGGATGATAAAAGCATAAAGACAATCCAGCAATTTACTGCAACTGTTCTTGGCTGAAAGACAAATAGCGGGCAGTTGAGAAATGCTCGCTGTATTTCTGTTCCACTCACATATTAACCTTCACCATCCAGACCCTTGCTAACTTGCCTACTGGGAATATGAACCTAAACCCTCTGTATGTGTGTGTCAGGGGTCGGTCAGTAGCTTATGTCTTAAAAGTGGCGAGTGCGGGTTCTGCAAACATGTTACAAGGTCCAATCTTACTGTCATTCCCTGCTTCCTGAAACTCTATGATGGGGAGCAGCACTGCTAGCATGGGCCTGCAATGGTTAATCTAGCGCTGAGCCAGGCCACCTCAGGGGAACCTGCCTGGAAAATGGGTTAATAAAGGTCATCCCCCAAAATAAACACTTTACAGAATGTTTCTCCATTCAGCCCTCCTTAAAATCAACTCGCAATAAAACGGGTCTGGGTGCAATTACTGCCGCTGCATTGGGGCATGAAATCAACCTGCTCCGAGCAATGACTTTTCCCCCATGTTCTGGCTGAGGTCTGCTATGATCTTCACTTTTTCAGCGTTTGCTGCTCCCCCTGAAGACCCTTCCCTGGCTTAGTCGCACCCAGTTTCTCTCAAAACTAGAGCGCTAAACCTACTTAAAACTACTATATTGATCTGTCTGGAGGTGCAGAGCTAGACTGAAAACGAAATAAATAGAAGCATTTTTTGCCTACTGAGCTTTTACAGAAGTACAAGTCCAGAAAGTGCATTATAGAAGAATAGAATAGTATGTTATTCTCCCAAAAGTAATTCTGTAAAATGTGCTGTTGCTGAAGAAAAATAACTAGCCAAGGAGACTGCGACAAATGACCTTAAATAAAACATTGCTTTATGGGGATTTGAGTTCCAAGTTTCCAAGCTTAATGGATGAAAGATGAATCTTGGCCTTGCATGTATGGAACATATGGAAAAAACACAATAATTAATGTCACAACATGAAGTTGGGCCAGTGACAGGCGGGGGGAACACTGGGGAACACAGATTTTCTCTGTCTGTATATTTGGACTGTAAAACCAGATGGAGTCTGTTGCTGAATGTGCGGTAGTCACAGGGCAGAAAAGGGCTCCCTTAAGTCCACATCCCTCCAAGTATGTTACATGTGTCACAGGAAAGTTTATTTCAGAAATTAACTAACATGCCTTAGCAGTAAATTAAAAGTAAAAGCAAGTTTTTTTAAACAAAACTATTTTATTGACTATCGGAAAAAGTCAAAGCATCTTTGCAAGACTGTTCTACATGGGCAACTTTATTAGTCACAACTAAAAGCTTCTCATTAACATGATTCTGATTCTCATCCTTTTTCAAATCATCCACGACCAGCTATTCATGTGAGTAAAAATTAGTCATGATGCTAAAGAATGGAAAAAAACATTTCTTTCAAGTTTCTTTCATATCAACATTATTTCAAAGGACCAATGCAATTGCTTTTAATTAGTACAACTGAATCACACAAAAAAATTAAATACCGAGACCTAACCAGTATTTGGTCGTATTTTTCTCCAGCACTAAATGTAAATTAAATAATTTCATCCGGGATACCAGCTTTTATTGCAATTATTATTTTAAAATATGGAGCAGAATATACAAGATTCACTGAGGCAAGGCAGAGTGCAAATGTGCGTTGAAGGGGAAATAAATGCATTGAGTTTGAATAGCTGTGATTTGCAGTAATGAGTTCTGTGCATTAAAGTTTCATTTACAGCAACTAATGTCAGAAAAGGGCAAATCAAAAATTCAGGTGCTTCCAAGGTGGCAACAAATAGCGTAGGTTGGTTGAGCAGTGTCGATGCAGATTATAACTTTTTCACAAGTGCTTTGTACTGTAAAGTAAACGAAGTAGAACAAAAATAACTTGCAGGAACAAATTCTGTTCATATGCGCGCTCTCCCACCCAGACCTCCCCCTATCCCATTAAGAGTTACGCTCAAGTTCATCCATGTATGGGCCGAGTGCCCAGGATATTTCTACTGCCAAGATGATCTTGAGGAGTCGGAGAATGAAGTGGAGCAGATGTGAGCTGGGCACTTGGGCAGCGCCCCCCCCCACCCCTTCTCCTCGTAAATACAGCGGCATTGTTGTGCTGGCACTGCTCTTCCTTTGTCTTAGCACTGCTAAGCACTGGATAATGTCATTTCACACCATCTGCCCCGAGGCTTCATTAAAGATACATGAATGGGCTATCTTATGAGGAACAGGTGCTATTGTTTGTCCCTCAAGACCCGGCACTAAGGATCTGACTCTGAATACTTGAAGAGGAGCATCTGTAGCGATCAGTCAGACAGACTTGGCTGAGGCCCCCGTCTCTGCCAGCAAGCACTCCAGCAGAGGTTTCTGGGGGAACTTAGCCTCCTTGCAACATGTATCATCAATTCAGATGACCTGATGAAGTCTGTGTCAGGCCAGCAGGCAATCTGTTTCACCCTCAAGGAGACGCTGGTGTTGATCAATAGAACCTGCTTGCAGTTCTACTCACCATGTGGATGGCATTTTGTTGAAAAGACTTACAATATTTAGTTCTGTCACACTTATCTCGTGTAGTAGTTGTGTTTGCTTTTAGTTTGCTTCATTGTGCGTTACTGACAAATACTTTATTCAACCTCTTTACAATCCCATACTCGATCATTAATTCCAGGAAATAAAACTTAAAGAGTAAAATGAAACAAGAAAGCACTTAAAGCTGACTGTATAATTATTTATAGCCGGAGCCCATCCCGTCCTATAAGGTCCCAGTTCATGCGACGAACCAGAGGACTGATATGTAAATACACAATGGAAAAAAGACATGGTGAGCTCCATTAATTCATCCTAACACTTACACATATGCAATATGTGCATACCAACATTCTCAGTCTCACACACACACACAAATACACTTAAAATTCAACTCTAATACCTCATTAACCTATAAACATCGCACTCTTGCAACTACTGTGAGTTATTTAGTTTTACTCCAGTGGTGAGATAAATATAGCACTTACAATATTTAGGATGAAAGATGCACTTTTATAATAATTCTTTGATAAGCTGTGCGATTAAAACATTTCACGAGCTAACGTTCATTTACAGACCTGTATGAAGCTCAGCTAATGCTATAAGGCATTTGCGCTGTGAGTTGTGTTGTTTTATAGATGTGTAAGCATCCACCTACAAGACAGAGCAGGCAGCTCCAAAACACTGAGTGCTAATGGAGATGTACAGCGCGTTACAGCCCCGACTCGGGCCCCTGTCAACACCCATGTTCCTCAGTGTCTGTTATAGCCTCTACAAAGCACCCGGGGGCCTCGAAAACCCCCTGCTGGCTTTCCCTCTGAGCCCCCACACACTAACCATGCACTGATCCACGCTCAACCTTGCTACTCGCTATGCACCACGATGCTCTACGTGAATGAAACTGTGAGAGTTATCGCTGTGAGTGACAGAATCAGTCAGAAATAAAAAAGATTAAAAGAAAAAAATAAGACAAACACCTCTCGGATTCTCAGTGTGTTTCGTGGATGTTGGATTGAAAGGACCTGTGAGCTCCTGGGTTTAACATCCTGATTAATTGCTACTTGACACCTTTTAAAACACCTCTGACACATATGCTTATCTTGGATATAATCGGCATCCATATGCCTCTGGCAGACACGTGTGTGTAAAACCCCTCCAAGTGTTCAATGAACATGACTGACAACAATACAACTGCAGGTTGCCAAAAATTGCTGATGAGCTTGTGGTGATGACGTTCTTAAGTCTGTACAATAATTTAGATTATAATAAGCACCTTTCACACTAAGAAAAGATCCCAATCACCAGCCATCATTTGGAAGAGGACTCAAGTTTCACTGACATCTCCTTTTAATAAAATTACTTCCACACATTAGTAGCTGTCAGATCCGCAGCTCTCACAAACCTTCTCTTTCACATTTTTCTATAGGAGGCATTCTGTAATTTCACCCAGGGAGGATAGACTCCAGCTGTTGCTTTAGGAACTGATAGTTCACACTTTGCTCACCCCTGCTCTCCGCCGAGCTGCGCGCTGAACGCCTGCGAGTAGAAATCACCTTTTGTGATCCATTTGAAGGTAAAGTGATCCTGAGGAAGCCGGCACGTCTGGCTACACCCCAACAGCAGCACACGCGGTAGAACCGACGCTAGACAGCAGGATATGTTTAACACCCGCCACTGTGTACACAGCCCGCTGGGTGTACACTGTACTGGAGCCGAACCGGGAGAAAAATCACTCAGTGGAAGCACTTCTGGGCTTGCGAATCCTCTGTGTTGCTTCAGGTTTACCCCCCCCCCCTCCGCCATGAAACAACAGTGTTTAAGCACATATTACTCGGTCACTACAGGTCACTTATCAGTGGGTCATACTGCAGCCGTACACGCTGAACAGTCGCTTCGCGAAGCAGACACACATTGATCGAAGAGAGGTGATGGTGTTTGGATTTGTCTGTAGCTAATGCTAATCACACAAACAGATCAATAGATTTACAACAGACTTTGATGCTCCCGAC